TGTGCAAGTATTTTATGATTAAGGTGTTTTAGGGTAGCATCTCTCCACCACTGTTACTACTGCCACTTGGCAATTCAGAAGGACCCTGCTGTCCTATTTCTTCTAAGGAATGCTGTTGATGTAAAACAAACAGAAACCTCTGGCTGCAGAGGTTTTGTTCTTTGAATCTGTAAATCTTGTATAAAAGCGTGCCTGCCTCACGGCGTACTGCAGAGACCAGGGGTGCACATCTTGGCCATTTCTGGCTCTGGGGTGAAGCAGGTACTGCAGGGAGGTCAGGTAGCTCTGCTTGCAGCAAAACATGTAATGAGATGAGCTGTAACAGATTAAGTGAAGTAGATTAAAAAGGGGAAAGAGCTGCTTTTGCTCTTTGGTTTGTTCTTTTTCTGTGCATGTCAGCATTCTGTGAATACAAATCTTTATATTGAGTTAATTCCTTCCTTCGTGTTTGTTTGGATCTTTTGCAAAGCGGCAGAGAAGAAAAAAGTATTAAACCTCAGGAATATAAATACAAAATCACAGGAATAGGCAGAGATAAAAATGTGTGGGGCTTTTTATTTTGGAGGAGTGTTGCTTATCTTATGAAGTGGATTAGTTGAGAATATTCTAAATAACTTCTGCTTGGCCTATTTAGTTCCATTAATTGATTTATTCAGGAATTGAAAAAAAAAAAAAAAAGAAAAGAAAAAAGCTGCATTGGTAGCAGAAGATACAAAGCCCAGCCTTCTGTGGAGCTCACTTATTTTAGCTGTGTCCAGTGGAGGTGCTCTGGTGCCTGATTGCAAGTAAGCCTACCTTGCTGTTTCTCAGTGTAGGCACTAATGAGTCTTTTCTTTGTCCCTCCAGTTGCATGAAATGTGGAGACTTAATCACTTTGTGGACTGCATATTATGTCAAATTTTACTGAAAATGACTGGCAAATTTAATAGTTGATTGGGGGCTCATCAATAGAAATATGTTTAGCAAGACCGTGTTTGTTGACAAAATCAAGCTAAATGATCTCTCACTCTTTTCATCTCCTTATAATGAAGCAAATATAATTAGCAGCCTAATTTGACATTTTATCGAGAATCAGTCTCATGGGATGAAGAGGTGCATGTTCATCTTTACAGTTTGGGATTTCGAAAAACTTCAAGAGCTGTTGGCAAGCTGCTGAGGTTTAAAATCTGAGCAGGGTCAGCAGACTGCCTGTCAGTGGTGAACTCTTTCTGTGGCCAGCTCAGCAGGACACACACCTCTGCATCTTTAGTCGTGTCTTCTAATGGCACAGCTTTGTACTCTATGTATGCACTTGTTTACTTTTTCCTGTATCTGTCCCAAACTTTGATCTGTTGCTAGTTCTCAGTCAAGCTTGACAGACAGGCCGAGGCTGACCAGCACTTTCACCCATTTCGTGAAAACTGACAAATGAGAGTCCTGTGAAAGCTTCCTGAAGCTGATACTGAGGTGAAAATCTGTACCAATAAAAGTATAAGTATGGTCAGATGTCAGAGAATTGTGTGGAAGCCAGTCCTTAAAAATATCAGAGCCCAAGAAAGCTTCAGTAGGAGCTTACAATGAACAATGTGACACAAAGTACTGCAGACTGGAATTAGTAGACTTAGAGCAGAGAGAAGTACTGCTGACAGCTGCTGTGGAGAATGAAATGAACCTCAGCAGCTGAGGGAGGGCTGCTTGCTTTCATACTTTTGTAGGTTTTGCTGTGGATTAACAGGTAGGCTTTGTGTACTTGTCTCACGTTCTTCCGAAAAGTCTTGGGCTAAGTAATGCAGCTGAGGTGCGGCTTTGAATAAGGAAGAGTTCAAAAGCAAGGTAGGCAGTGGTAGTGTGACCTTTGGATGGGAAAGCTTCTCCTTCTCCATACCTTTGGTCCACAGCACTTTTAGGGTTTAATATGGAATGTGATGTGTAGCTTTTTTCTTCTTTTTTTCACCCCCTTCACAAACTGCAAAATTTACCGTTTTTTCTTGTCTTTGAAATCAGAAAATGTAGAGATGTAATTGTCTTGCACAAGCAGTTTCAGGTAAGAGTGAGGTATATGATATGATACAATCTGACACTGAAAATTTTGACCTAAAAATGTACAAAAATAGAATGGGAGATAAATAGCTTTGGTCCTCAGTGGCAAGAATTGATTGCTTGTCTAAATTGTCACTATTGACTTTGAGGTCAGCAATGTTTTCTCTTGAAATATGCTGCATCAGAGAATATTTATGCTCATATTGGAATTATCCTTATAAATTAATAATAGCCTTAGTATTTTTCCCTGTTCTTCTCACTTTATCTCCCTTTTTTTTAATAATGCAAGTTCAGAGAAGCATATATGAGTCTATTTTTCTGAAATATTAACATTATTCCTACTTTTCCATGGGAAGTAGAAATCTTTACTAACAAGCAAAAAATGTTTTGTCAAAGTAAGCTTTCTTTTTTTTTTTTTTCATTTTCAGTGGTTTTAAAAATAAAATGGCGTAACTCTTGGGACAGAAAAGACAGACAGTCTTCTGAATATAGACCACTGCAATGCTGTTCTAAAAGCAACAGGATATTAATTCTGAAGCATCTGTTACATTAACATTGTTCCCATGTGGATGGTTCATAAGGAAAAGCTTCTCCCATTTTAAAACATAAACTAATTAAAAGTATATTTGATTTGAGTAGCTTATTTTTAGTTGTTTTTTTTTTAATTCATTCAAGTTCATTTTATGCTATTCTGAGTCAAGTCACCCCACAGACTTGTTCCCTTAGTTTTATTTTTCTTTAATTTTGATTTAATGGAATGGTTCTGCTTCTTATTAAAAGTGATGTCTTAAAAAAGAAATCTGTGTAAACAGTACCTCATCTGCAGTCAGCTAGAAGACTAATAGTCATATTAAACCTATGAACTTTTTACTGGAATGCTTGGAGTTAAGGCTGAAGAATAATCAAAGGATTGATGAAGAACATGGGGAAAAAAGGGATGTGTAAGTAGGAATTATGTAACTACACAGGAACATATGTCTGTCTCATGTATCTCTGCTGTCTGGGAGAGTTGGCTATGTAATGACCTATGAGGACATGCATAGCCTCTGGATAAATGGTATTTACCAGCATAAAGGAAAACTAAATTGGTATTTTGATTGAACAGTGTGTTTGACCTACAAGTTTCTTCAGATGTTATGTAGGGCACTAGATTTACTACTCTGCAGCAAACAAATTCCCAAACCTCGCCTTCAATTCAGTTATGGTTGTTGTAAGAGGTGCAACAGGTAACTTCAGTGAAAAATGAAGACTGTAACTAATAGCTCATTGCTTGGGATTTTAAGTCGTTCTGAGCCTAAGTTGATGGAAGCTTCTCTTAATTAGGTTAATGTTCAGCTTAAGTAATTGATAGTCTTGTAGCTGCTTTCATTTAAATAATAGTGGAACTTAACCTTCTTAAAGAAAATCAGTGTTTTCAGACTTAAAACTAAAATATTTGGAGGGAAATAGAATGGGAAAGATTTACCTGTGGAAACGTCACTCTGTAGTTTTTCTGCTTTTGCCTTGTTCTGAGAATCAGTTCCAGAGCAGTTTCATTTGGCTTTTGGAGTCAGGGATATTTTCAATAGCCCTAAAGAACAACAACAGAAGTTCTGAAATCTTGATGCTGATTCAGCATGGAACATAGCAAGGCCAAGGCCTCTCCACTGCATGCTGGACACTGGCAGTGGGATATAAGGCTAGATGGATGTGTGGTGGGATTTGGCACAGCAGTTTTTGTGGCAGATGCTGTGAGGTCCTAGGTTAGTGAGTAGTGTAAAAGAACCCATCTATTCAACTTCAAAGTGGAGAAAGGGGATGCTGGTACAGAAGGTAGAGTCTGGGTTGTAATTCAATTATGGGAGTTCACAATATAGACGTGGCAGTATTTTTAGTCTCTTAATTAGATTCTAAAAAATCTTATCTATGCTATAGGCAGTAGTTTAAAGTGCACTCACACTTACATTTATTTTCTTTATCTGCAGCCCAATGAAAAACATAGTGAGATGAGAAGGAAGCAATCCTTTGCTATTAATCCTAATAGCAATAGCAATCCTTTGCTATTAATCCTTTACAATCCTAAAATTAAATACAAATCTGTCTTAACTCTAGAGGATGTGTGATAGATTTAACGAAACAAATTCACTTTAGCTACTTGCCTGACTGTTTACAGGCTCTAAATCAGAGCTTCTCAGGTCTCTGGTCATAATCCTGCTTGAAATCAAGTTCAGGTTTCATGATCTCTAAATTAAAACAGCACAAGCTAAATCCTGGATTACAAGTATTGGCAGTGGCATCCAGCTTTGAATAAAGCCAGAGCATTCCCTTGTGCAGGGATGTGACATCCTGTGTGAAGGCAGAGTGGTGTTCCACTTCAAAAGGTTAGAAACAATAGTCCTTGAGATTCCACACTGAAATTGTGAGGCAGAAAGGTGGTCCCAGCAACTTTAGAAAACACAGGGAAAATGGGCATCTGAGTGAAGGTTTTGGCATATTGAAAATGTTTCTCTGATTCTGAACCAACAATGGAAAAGTAATTATGCTGCTTGTTTTTAGTGTTTCGGTTCTCTTGTTTTTGAGATGTCCTTTAATCACAGAATTTCAGAGTGGTTTGGGTTGAAGGGACCTTAAAGATCATCTAATTTCATCTCCCCTGCCATGGGCAGGGATGACTCCCACCAGACCGGGTTGCTCAAAGCCCCATCCTACCTGACCTTGAACACTTCCCAGGATTGAGTCAGGCACAACTTCTCTGGGCAACCAGAGAACTTTGCCAGTGTTTTATCACCCCCTGCATAAAGAATTTCTTCCCAACATCTAATCTCAGTCTCCCCCATTTTAGTTTAAAACCCTTTTCCCTTGTCCTATCACTATCTGCATTGCTCCCCCTCCTTTTTGTTAGCCCCCTTTAAGTACTGGAAGGCTGGAATTAATTATTGCTTGCAACTCAAGCTTGTGGTAATATGAGCATAAGGTAAATATTTGTCACTTTCTGCTTCTAGGTCCACTGTCCTTCTTTCCTCAATGGAAGCTGAAGCATTATGATGTTATCGTAGGTGTTCTGTCAGCTCGACACAATCATGAACTACGCAGTGTTATAAGGAACACTTGGTTCAAGCACCTGAAACAGCATCCTGCCCTGAACCAACGGTAACCTTTACTGTTCTGTAGTTTGGGCCTGGGGGCAGGGGGTCATTGTAATGCTGAAATATCTTGATTTTATAATGTTTGTTTTAAAATGTTTCCTAGTTTATTTGTTTGGTTTTTAGCATCTTGTATTCTGATAGATTTTTTAAAAGCCTGCTTAATAGTGTATAAGAATACTTCTTGCCTTGGGCTGTAACTATACACTGCTGTTTGCTTTTGCAATTACTTGTCACTGTTTATTAGTGATGTATAAGCCTTTCTCTTTTCTGTGTTGCAATGTACTGTGTACAACTTGAATCCTTGGTAATCCAGGATTTTTGAAAGCAGGCAGGATTACATTTGCTGAGAGAACCACGAAAGCTCTTCCAAACAGCCTCAACTGTAAAGTTCAGGTTTGTTTCCCACTGAACCAGGTGCACCAAACTGCTGCAGTGTGTGGCCCTTCCTGACTGCTTGCGTAGACCTGACAGTGTACAGACAGGTCTGGTTTTGCTGAGAAGCTCTGCTGCAGTTTGTCCCCAGAAACACTGCCATCCTTACACCTTGTTACCTGCCTTGCACTGAGAGCATTTTGCTGTTCCCAGATTTGTGTCAGCATGCAGCCTGGGGTGCAGCATAGCCACCTCAGTCATCTAAAATTGTGACCTTTCATAGCTTACATGGAGTTCTGGGAGGACATTTAGCTGCTAGGTGAAAAGATAGGCAGAGGTGGATCCTTGCTCTTTGTACTTACTTGATGTCTTCCTACTATGGAATAACCATGATTGGAACTGGGGAGGAACCTCTTGTTTTGCTACAGCCCAAAGTTGAAATATTTCATTGTAACAGGTAGTCTGGAATCCTCATTCCTCCTTTGATGCTATGTGTCTTTTTTCTTAATTTTTTTTCACTGACTTTTGAATGCGTAGTATTTAAACAATCTTGAATGAAGTAACAAACTCAGGCTAGGAGGGGCATGTCTCTGGGATCCTTCAGTGTTGCCTTAGGTCTTTTTTCTGTTTAGTGTGCTGGCTGTCTTGTCTCTCATTTCTAGCTGCCAATCTTCTTGCAACCTCATAATGTAAAATGTTAACGTAGATTTGGAATTGAGCTCCTGTGAGGGGATTCATGTGGTTGCTCTGCATACCAACTGTCATTGCTGATTTTTAAGAGGTTCAAAATCTTAACCCTGTGAAAGACAGGTCATGGTGATAAAATTAAGTTTATTGAAGATGGGGGGAGGAGGGAAGAGAACTGGTGTTAATAAAAGCAAATTATTTTAGTGTCCTTGTGAAGTTTATAATAGGTGCGCATGGTTGTGCTGTACCAGTGAAGGACAGAGAAGACCCCTACTCCTGCAAACTTCTGAACATCAGTAACCCAGGTATAGACGTTAACTTTTAAAAATTCTGTGGTTTGAACTAGAGCTGGCCATCTTTTCTGAGAGTAGTTTGGGGAGTTTCATTGAGACAGCTAGTCTTGAAAACAAATACCTCCTAGAACTTGCTGCATAACCTTCCTGTAAGTACCGTGTGCAGGCCAGAAAGGGAGAGATTTTTGGGCCTGTGGAGGGGAGTCCATTGACTTCTAATGGATTTGCATTTTTCTTGTGTCACCAGTCTCTCCCATATACAATACATTTTTACTTGATGTAAGTGTTAAATGAAGCTGGAGAGAGACAGAATGACCTGGCATAGTGTCAAATGTGAAGAAAGTAGCAAGGTGACAGTCTTGAGTGTCAGATGGGGAGAGAGACAGAATGACCTGGCATAGTGTCAAATGTGAAGAAAGTGACAGTCTTGAGTGTCAGATGAACTTCTCTGGTGACAAAGTGAATTCTCTAAGCAAATTTGGCTGATTGGTTTTTCAGATTCTGCTTTAGAGAGAAAACAATTAAGAAATGTAAAATGGAGGAAAAAATTAAATGCCATACAGAAATTCCTAACTAAAATTTTAACTTTTTCCTGTCTCTTTTTGGATTTTATTTCATTCTTGCTCTTTAATACAGTTTAACTAAAGGTACTTGAGCCATGATTCAACACAAAATGTAACTTTGGTTACTTTTTCTTTGGATGACAACATCTACTGTTCCCAAGTATAAATGGTACCTCAGGGCTTAGGTAGGCGATAATGCCAAAAAGCAGACAGCTGAATTAGGTGGAGGTGTGTGCCATTTTGATACATGAATAATTATTTTATTATGCTAATATACAGGTATTCATGCAGTCAAATAGCATTTTTGTCTTCCTGCTGTGGATTTATTGTGTTTCTAATCTTTGCCCTGTGGATATGTAGGCATTGAGTTGCAATTGCTATTAGCCTGCAGATTGCTGTACCACTGAAATTTTTCTTGCTGCAATCTGCAGCCCATTGTATTTTCTTTTACTCCAGTGTTTTGATTATCCTTGTGCACTTGTGAGCCATGCTAATTAAGCAGAATGCTTTGCATGTAGGCAGTGTGCTTTGTGTGTATCCAGGAACTATGAACTTTTCTCCCCTTACCTCTGGCCTTTCCTTTTCATTCAGTTTTGAATCAGGAAATTGAAGCATTCAGTCTCCCTGAGGACATACCTTCTGTGCTGTCTGAAGACAGAATCGTCAGTGTGACCTTCCGTGTGCTTTACCCCATTGTCATTACCAGCCTTGGGGTATTTTATGAGGCTGATGGCGTGGGATTCCAGAGGAACATCACTGTAAAGCTGTACCAGGCAGAACATGAGGTAGAGTATTACAGTTATTTTTTGAAAGCATGATATCTCTTTTTTGTGCATTAAGTTCTTAAAGAAAGTGACAAGCTGTGTTGGTGAGTTAGAAGAGAAATACTTAACTGACAAGTTTATGAATTATATTTTTCTTTTATTGCATTTTAAATTCACATGTATGTGTACAGAGGCACATCCTGGATGAGGAAAAAATGAAATTCCCAAAGTGCTGTATATTAATCTAGATGCTGTTATGAAAAAGCACTTACATCTAATTCCAATGCACATTTTTTGTGTTTTGGGCTCTAAATATTGATAGTTATTAAGGAATAAAAATTAAGCTATGTAATATATTTAAAACACTTGTAGAACCATGCATTTGGTGTCTTCAAGCAGAGATGCAGAACAGCTGTAATTTTGCCTGTCTGTCTTCTGGCAAGACATTTTAAGATTTCTAGAAACTGTTATTATTTACTGGTAATAATCAACTACATTGATCATTTCCCCCAGTCCCAAACTGTTATGGGCTTGATAGAATAGCTTTATGATTTGGAGGGAAAATTTTTTTGAGCAAGATTGTTGCATTTGATAGGTTATATTTATCTCAACCAATAACTTGATAGGCCAATTTCAAAACTTCTATCTGTGCTACAGTATAAAGAATTGTAAGTATGACTTCCATGATGAACTTCCAAGGATTTTGGTTTATAATAGCCATAATAAGTTATACTGTAATCAAGTTCATGTTTCCTAAACTGTAGAATTCCTAAATGTTCAATGTCTGATCATTTTATCTGCATTAGTTTTTTACTTCCAGTGAAGGAGAAAAGTTGGTTACATAAGAGAGCTTGGAAATTGTTTTTGAAGATTGGAATTTGGCAATGCAGAATCTTTATGTAAATTGTTATTATCTAAGAGCCATTTCATGGCCTGTGTAATACAGTAGCACTTTTAATGTGTGTTGTGGGGTTTTTTTTAATTTTGGTTTTTTCTTCTTGTTCACAGGAAGCCATCTTCAGTGCTCGCTTTAGTCCGCCGAGCTGTGGAGTGCAGGTGAACAGATTGTGGTACAAGCCAGTAGAGCAGTTTATTTTGCCAGAGGTATGTGCAGTATCAGAACTGCCAGCAATTCTTTTAAGTCATCTGGACAGACTGACTGATAAAACTGGCCTTTGGTTGAGGCAGAAAAGGGCAAGTGAAAACCTCTAGAATGTTAGTTCACAGAATCCCAGAATGGGTAAGTAGTTGCAGGGATATGCTGAAATCCAGTATTTGTTGTACAGCATCCTGTTATCACAGGTAGTTATAAAGCATAAGCCTGGAAAATACAATTGATAAAAAAATTCCTTTGTCAAATACTAGCAACTTCTGAAAACTTATCTATTTCTGATTGAAAACTGTACCTGCTTTGATTCTGTGGGAGAGTTTACCAGAACATGTGGTGCTTCTTTTTCCCTTCTGCTTTATCAGACATTAGCACACAAGACAGGGAGGGAAGGATGGCACAGGTTTCTAGGGAACAGCTGGAAAAGAGGTTTCTGCATCTGTTGTCTTGGACATAACATCAAGTTATGTCCAAGACAGTGTTATTTGTTTGCAGTGTTTGCAGTGACAGTGTTATTTGTTTCTGGTATGGGGATATGGATCCTACTTGTGGCTGCATAGGAAGGAAGGGGATTAAACACAAAAGGAACAGAATATCATAGGAAAATACCCTGATGATTTTACAGTGAAGGTTGAATATGAGTAAAGGTTGGCTCAGAAGGAGAATTCTGGTTAGCAGACCCTCTCAGGTACAAGGAATTGTTCTCAGTGGACCAGTGATCTCTCGCTAGATATCTCTGGTACTGTTTTGGACAGTTTCCCTTAATTTAAATATTTTCCTGGAGTCTTGCTTCTGTTTCTGTAAGTTGTCTTTAGGCCTGGATTGTTTTATTACTAAAGAAATTGTGTTATGAAAGAATGAAGCAAGAGAAGACTGAAGAGGGAAGAGAGGACAATTTGGGCCAATTTATTCCCTGATTTATTCCCCTGGCTCTATACTAATGAATGCATTTGGAAATCTATTAATTTTAAGGAGAATCTGCAGCTGTCTGATTGATTTATCTTAGACAGTGTTTACTGGGTACTGTGCAAGTTGTTATGCTGGCAGGAAACCTTTCAGGTGAGCAGACCACTTGCACTATTTTGTGCATATGCTTTGGCAATCTAATTTCATACTAAAATGATTAAGGGTTTATTTTACATTTTTAAAAAGAATATTGGTTACCCAGTAATTTGGTAGTCTATCATGTGAGTCTTTTCCCTGTAAGCCTTTGTTTTGAGATGCTAAAATTCCAGGCAGTTGTAATTTAGCTATAAATGGTTGCAGTTTTCCTGAGAGGCAGATGGGAAGTACTTCCTTGAGAGAGAGAATATTAGTATTCATATATTTCTTTGTGTGGGCTTCCTTAATCTGACGTGTGTCATGCGCCGAATGCTTACAGGGTAACACGATGTTTCTAACGTAGATTAATGGGGCTTAGGCACAGCATGCAGTCTCCTGTGATGCTCAGGATGCTGAAGCATACATGATGATTCAGAAGAGGTGGCAATGCCCACATGTTCCTGTCTACTTGTTTGAGAGCACTAAATTTAGTGAACTGTTTAATTGTCATAGGATGCTGTCTGAGACAGCGTCTATTCCCTGTCTTTCTACCTTGAAGAAGTAATGGATTGTAGAGACTGCTGAAGAGCTTCATTCATCTTGCAGCTGAAGTGCTGCTCTTTCTGCTCGTCTTGGGGAAAGGCAAGGAAATGCAGCATTAGAACAAGCATCTGGCAGGCCAGATTGTGAGAGACAGAATCGATCATTCAGCTTGGAACCACTGAAAGCACAGAACAGCAGAAGCACCAGCAGATAACTAAAACAAACAGGGCTCTTACAGACTAGTCTTAGCAGTGCACTTATTTTGTCAAAAAGCCGTGGGCCACTTGCATGAAGATGGGACTCTGTACTGCACATATTCTGTATTACTAATGGGGAGTAGTTGGAGGAACAAAAAGCACAGCACTGTTTAACATTGGAAAGGAGTTTGGCAGGGCTGCATTATGTCAGTTCACTTCTTCGGTATTCACTGTAAATGCCACTGCGCTCTGGCAGCAACAAGGCTGGAATTTAAATGGGGAAAAACAGATGATGTAGTCTCAGGTGTGCCACTAATGTTTTTGCTTTAAGCATTTTCAGGCCTCAGCTTTCATTAACTGGTTTAGAGTAAGAATAGCTGAGGGCTAAAGTCATTAGAAAATTTGCTTATGAATCTCTCAACCTGGAAAATAATGATAGTTTACAGCCTTAGGACACCTTACACTGAGGTTCACTGGTAGTAGCTGATTAAGACTCCTGGTACATTTGAAGTCAGTATCAGTAATAGTCAGTGGTGAGAATTGTAACGTTTCTGCTTGCTGAGGCATGAAAGGACTCTCTTGCTCCTAAAAGACTCTTCTGTCACTAAAGAACTTTCCAGAGGTTATGTCTATAAAGAGGACACTGAAGTGTGATTAGAGCCCAATCCCTACAGCAAAAAACATTGGAATGGGAGATGACAGTCACTGCAAAAAGAGAAATTGAGCCACTAGAAAAAGTCTTAATATTGGTCTATTTAGTTTGATAATTGAGAAATAATTAAACAACAGAAAGCTGAGTATGAGTCAGCAGTGCCCGGGCAGCCAGGAGGCCCAGCTGTGTCCTGATGCTGCATTCAGGGACAGCATCCTCAGCCAGGCAAGGGAAGGGATTGTCCTGCTCTGCTCTGCACTGGGGCATCCTCACCTCGAGTGCTGGGGGCAGTTTTGGGAGCCACAATAAAAGAAAGACATTGAGCTGTTAGGGAGTGCACAAAGGAGGGCAATGAAGATGGTGAAGGGCCTTGAGGGGAAGGCATTTGAGGAGCAGCTGAGGTCACTTGGTCTGTTCAGCCTGGAGGAGACTGAGGGGAGATCTCACTGCAGTTACAGCTTCCTCAGGAGGAGAAGAGGAGGCAGGCACTGATCTCTTCTCTGTGGTGACCAGGGACAGGACCCATAGGAATGGCCTGAAGCTGAGTCAGGGAAGTTTTAGGCTGGATATTAGAAAAGGGTTCTTCACCCAGAGGGTGTTTGGGCACTGGAACAGGCTCCACATGGAGGTGGTCACAGCACCAAGCCAAGAGTTCAAGAAGAGTTTGGTCAATGCTTGCAGGCAGAGGGTGTGATTTGGGAATGGTCCTGCAGGGTGAGGAGGTGGATAGGATGATCCTTATGGGTCCCTTCTAATTCAGCTTATTCTGTGAAGCAAGGGGAAGGTATTGAGCAAGGAAGTTAGGCTTGAATAAACACTGGCTAGCTCCATTATTAGCTTATAAAGCTGGCATTTTAAATAATAGATGAGAAATTTCTGAAATACACACAGAGATGTCATTAAACCCTGAGACTGCTGCAGATGTTAAGACCTGCTTTTAGAAGAAAGCAATAAAGTAAGCTGAACTATAATCTAGACTTAAAGGTGTTTCAGTAACTGGAGGATTTTTGGAGAAGGTTTCTAGTGTACAAGGAAGATAAAATGGGAAAGAGATGAGAGGTTGGTATAAGTAAACAGACTTCCTACAGTAACAGAGATGCATGTACAAACAAGTTGTTTTTCTATTCCAACACCCACACTAACAACCAGTGTATTTCCTATGAAAGTGGGAGAGACAAAATGGAATGTGCTCATCTAGGTGGCAGGAGTATAACAACCCTACCTTTTCATAAAGGAGAAATTGCTTTAAAAAATTTAAAAAATAAAATTTTACCAATACTCTTATTTATACAACTTCCCACCTGTTCCTTTGCATGTTCTCAAGGGTCTTCAGTTTAAAGTTGAGATGAAGTCCTTTCAAATGCAAGAATTTACACACACACACACACACACATGTAAAACATGGAGTGGCATAGCCTAATTTGACTGTTAAAACCAGAAAATTTTGAAGTTATTCACTTGTCTTTTTCTTCCTTACCAGCCAAGATGTAAGACTTCTGTCAGTCCTACAGTAGCTTGTGACACCTTTACTGCAATAAAGGTGGCTGTATTTTTCTTTGAGTTTTGCTGGTGTCAGGATCCAGTCTCTGATCTCTGTTTGGCAGAAAACGATAAAAGCTGAGCTTGTTTCCAAATCTGTTTTAACCTATTCTCTTTGAAATGCAGGATTTTATATTTGATTTTTTACAATTCACTTCAGGTCACCTTTAAATGTTATTTTGATGATTTTAGAAAGCTTTCTGTTAAAAGTTTAATATAGAGATTCATTATTAGTCTTAAAAGAATGATTACGTGTTGCTGAGTTTCATGGATGTGTTTTATTTATGTGTAATTTATTTTTATTGAAGTGTAAGTAAAACATTTATGTTATGAACTCAAGCTAAATCTTGTGTGAAGTTCACTATTTTAAAATCATTTTAATGAGCCCAAACTGTTTGACTTCCATTTTTTAAAGTCTTTGTATACCTGCATAACTATATTTTGCTCTCTTACCAGAGTTTTGAAGGTACCATTGTGTGGGAGAGCCAGGATCTTCAGGGCTTGGTTTCAAGAAACCTTCATAAAGTGATGGTGAATGATGGAGGAGGTGTTTTCAGAGTCATTACAGTGAGTCCCCTCACCTTCCTTTCCACCATGTTTCTATTTTTTCTGTAATTGTTGAGAATTTAGCATTTTACTTTCCTGTGTTTCATTGTGTAAATCATTAATTCAGTTGGGCTTCTCTTGTCTCAGAAGAGAAGTTTTGCTTTGCCTTCTTGCAAAAAAATTATGCCTGTAAGTGGCATTTTATTTTGAGGGGAGTAAAGCTCTTATTGTTTTTGTGAGAATGTGAAGCAGTATCAGCATATCAGAGATGGCAAAACGTGGGTCAAAAATCCTGTGCTAAAATCCCAACTGATGGGATAAAGTCTGGGTATTTGGTTTTTGGCAGTGTGTCTCTTTTTGTCTCAGATTTTTGCTTGCCTAAACATCCTGTGTAGTCATAATTTAGCCAGATAATTTTGCATTTTGCTGTCAGCTTCAAAACTAGTTTCCTGAAAGTTTCAGTAGTACTGATAATTTTGGATGAAACTTGAAAAAATGCCACAAAACTTTAGTTCAAAATCTTAGTCTTAGTCTTCCATGGCACATTGTGTGATTCTTGGGGTGGTCCTGTGAAGGACCAGGAGCTGGACATGAGTAATTGTTGTGGGTCCCTTCCAACTCAGGATGTTCTGTGATTCTGTGGTTATGCAAGTGCCTGAACCAGCAGAGCTTTAAATTAATTTCATTCTTAGTTGCCAGAAAACTTCACACCTTAAAATCAGAGGTAAAACACATCAATAATGAGAGATTAATTAATCTATTCATTTCAGTTAATCTGTTCCTAACAGGCAGGGGAAGGGTCACTGCCACATGAACTCACAGAAGGTGTGGAGGGAATTGCAGGTGGTTTTATCTACACTATTCAAGGTAAGGCCACAAAATGTAGCATGACATTTGATGTTGTGGTAAAACAGGTCATTTAAGTTACACTTCTGAGTATAATTTGTGCTGTCTCCATGAACTTAGTCACCCTAGGTTTTCTTCTGGTAGAAACATTTTCTTCGTGGCTCTTTTATGCTTAAAGTCAATGTCCTGATGTGGTTCCTTTGCTTGCCTTTTGTCAGCCACTCCAGTTGATTTGCATCCCTTTGTCTTCTTATCTAGACTCTCTTCTTGTTCTTTGCTACCCAAAATCAAGTTAAAAAATGTCATGCAATGAAATCATTCCCTGATATTTTTTACACTTTTTCCCAGTTCTGGTGCAGTTAGAGGTACTGTATCACAATATTTAATATGGACAAACAGTTTCCATCCCTGTTGTTGCTCTTTTACACCTGTCTCAGCAGAATGTTGAGAGATTTTGTAGGAGCCCTTTCCAGTTTCTAAGATTTTGGCCACATAGCACTGGAGTCAATGTGTTATTTTTGGTCCGTTATAGCCAACATAAGCATAGACTTTGAGAGTGTTATTGCTGTGTTTTTGTAGCTGGGCCTGGCAGATACAATCGGGCAGTCCTGTTATCTTGTCAGCTCTGTAGGAGCCTGAATTGAGTGTGTGCTACAGCCCTTCCATCTTGTTTGTCAAGCTTTTCTTCAGTGCCACAAACTACCTCCTTATCTGCAATATATTTTTAGCTTTTACCTGCAGTTATGTGATGTGGTTCAGCAGGGACCATCTGTGCTACATCGAAACAATGCCTATTTGATTATATTTAGCATAGCATTGTTTGGTTTTTTGTGTGTTTTATTTTTTTTATGCTAGATACATATACTTAGGAGGAACTGACAGTAGCCTTTTTATTCTACAGTAAGAGAAATAGTGAAGTCCCAGACTGTTCTTTATATTAAGGAACCTTAGAAAGTTGAATTCTTTTATTACTGAAGAGAATACTTTTTTATTTTAAACTTTTAGTGTCAGGCCTTATACAAAAATACATTCCTTCATTGTTCTGCAACTTCAACCATTCTGTAGAATTTTTTAATTAATTGCAGGATTTTCATAACCCAAATTATTTGAATGTTTCTTCAGATTCATTTTGTCAATGAGTGCCCTGTATGATGCAAGAGAAATATTAAATAATATATAGATATGCATCTTTGTTTAATAATGGGTGCTGTTTCTTTCAGAAGGTGATGCTCTTTTAAAAAGCCTCCATACTCGCCCAGAAAGGTTTGCAAGTCACATAAGAAACCTTGAGAAAGAAGATGCTTTATTGAAGGAAGAAAGCAGTATGTATGATGATATTGTGTTTGTAGATGTGGTTGACACTTACAGAAACGTTCCCTCCAAGCTGCTGAACTTCTACCGATGGTAAGTGGAAAAGAAAGTATTTTCTTATTTTCTCTTAGGAATGGTGCTGTTTGTAGTCCAAGATGATCTGGCAGATTATGTTACTTGATAGGTTCCATTAAGTACATGCCTTATGTGATTTACTTCATTAAGTTGTATTTTTCTCTCAAAATTTTGGGTGCATGTAGTGAGTAAAATGGCAGGGCCTATAGTTTTTTGAATGCTGACCCTTGGTGCCTCAAATCAGCACAAGCTGGCAAGACAGGCTCTAAGAGTCCAGGTGTAAAAATTTTAATTTCTCCTTGTAATTTCTTTCCATTTGTATCTAACTGAAAACCAGCAGTTTTAGTATTTTAAATGATGGCTTTTGGCCAGCTTGTAAACTCACTCAGTGTTTCAGTTTGTGGCTGTTGCTCCAGTCCCACAATCATCTTGATGGGCCTTTGCTGGACTCTCTGCCCTGAATGGCCGTGTCCCTCTTGTACTGAGGAGTCCAAGACTGCACACTGTAGTCCAGATGTGGCCACAGCAGTGCTGAGTGGAGGGGAAGGATTGGAAGCTTGTGTACAGGGGGACAGAAGGCTGATAGGAAGAATTTTCATAGTGTAATTGCATTGTCTGTGGTCAGTCTAGTTAGTTTCTACCTCTAATTTGCAGTGATTTCTATTACTCTGAGACAACTGTTTCAATTAATTGATGCTGCTGTGCAGTAAGTAATACAATTGACAATTGTAATTTAACCATAATTCATTTTAGTTGCTTTCAAGATTATGCACTTACTTCACAAATTTCATGGCTATGAATGTAACTGAAAAACTGAACCATGCTTTCAGTTCTAAAAGGAGGTTTGCATGTCAAGACTTAGATCTTTGTGATAATTTCTTACAGATTAGCAATTTTTCAAGATTTGGTAATAAAAAGCTTTTAAAAATACTCTTCTTGTTATAAGAAGCTACCCTTACAAATGTTTGTAACCAACCCAGCCATGGATCCCTAGAATCTTAAGCTTTTTTGGTTATTTTATGTGTGCCATGTTCAACTATTTCAGACAGGTAAAGATAACATTTTTCGTGTTTGAAGAGTGCATTTATAGAGAGAGTGAGTACAGAGTTGTTTCCACAGATGTTTTTTACCACCAGCCTTCTAATTGTCCATGAACTGACTGTCTCATTCTGAAAGTAGGCTACTGACGTGTAGCCAGTGGCTTTTAACAGCTGTGCTGCCATCAGCATCAGGAATTCATATCCTTCTGAGGTCAATACTGCTTAAGATGGTTTCATTAGTAAATCCACCATCTGTCCTGGTTGGAGAACAAAACTTCAAATTTGATTTCTTCTGCTCATACACAAGTCCATGTTTTCAGATCATCATAGGATACAGCTGCCTCTCCTTTGAGGCAGTCAGCCTTTGGTTGATAGAGAAAACATTTAAAAGTCAAGGGTAGCAAGGACATTCCTTCACTCTTTCTTCCCCCCACATCCCAAAAAACCCCTTGCAGAGCATGCTGTCTGTAGTTTGTGGTGTGCAGCTCAACATTTCATCACTTTTCATTTTGGCTACAGGACAGTGGAATCAACGAGTTTTGATTTGTTGCTGAAGACTGATGATGACTGTTACATTGATTTGGAAGCTGTTTTTAACAGGATAATGCAGAAAAAATTGGACAGGCCAAACATTTGGTGGGGAAAGTAAGTTGTTTTTTAAAGATACCTTTAAGAGATAGATACCATTTCTTTAGTGGTTTAGTGATTTAAGTCTGTTTTCATGTGGGTTCCCCTCCTGTGCCTAAGGAAGCCAGTTGTAAAAAGCAGGACTTCTGTATGTGTTAAACTTTGAATCTCAGAATCAGAAATCAGTCCTTTACAATAACTTTCCAGAGTATGCCTTTACAGTGATTTAAACTTGCTGAGTATCTTGCCTGGTTTTAAAATGTGTTGTAGACATGTCATGGTACTTAAGTAAATAAGTAAATAATTTCCAGCAATACACTGAAGTTAAAAGGAACGTACATAGTACAGAACTATAAATATTACTTTTTGTAATGTCACTGTGATTTTTCTGGTGGGCTTGAGGAAGTGGAGTAAAAAGGAGAAACAAAATTTCTGTTACAGTCTGCACTTTATTGTAACATCTGTGAATTTCAGGCATTGCTATCCGCTTCTGCTGTTTGAAATAGCAGATCTGATTAATAAATTTTTGACTGAACTTTCCCAGCCTGTATTACACTTGTGAATAACCAGGAGGATCAAAATAGCCCACATCTTCCCTTCCATGGAATGCACTGCAGCTCTGGTATGACATCCAATATAGCAGGAACTCTATGCTGCTTCCATATAGCATAATGGTACAATGTTCCTTCCTGTTGCCCTCTGCTCATTGAAGAAAAACAGGCCTTTGCTGCTTCGCTTCACAAATCTGGTCCTGTCTGTTGCTTACACATAAAGTGATGTAATAAGGTGTGTGTACAAAGATCTGTAGGAGTGACATCTCTAAATGTAAATTCTTTAATAGTCACAGTCTTCAGGTCAGGCAAGTGTGACATGTAGGGAACACTGAAATAACTATGGAAGTATGAAATGATTGTCAAAGCAGATGCTTCTCAGTTTGGAGGGGGTTTAACCTTTTGTGCTGTGATTCAGTGGAGTGGAAGATACTGTGCCTAAAGTGAATTCAGGTATCAGATGAGACTTGCATTTACTTTGTGCTTTAACATGTCAGCTTCAGTTGAGAAGGGGCAGAATCTGATAACATATCTGGCAGTCAGCTGCAATTCCTCCCTTTCAGGGCTGTTGTCTGAGGTGACAGTTCTCAGTAGCTCACTGAAGCTTTCAGCTGCTTGTGCTCATGACTGGAAATGAGCAATGCTGAACCTCTTTGTGAAACAGGGGAGACCCCGCTGCATTGACACAGTTGTGTCTCTTAGCTGTGACTGCATGGAGCATTTGTGAGGCCAGAGGAATGCAATAGCAGCTTGTTCCCAAGCAGGGAAAGCAGGATGCTTTTCACTGCCTCACTCGCAGTTTGACAGGGTCCATGGCAAGCTCTGCTGCGCTGGGAGCGTGTGGGGAGACTGCAGACAGAGACTGCTTCCTGCAGGCCTCTGGGAGTGAATAAAGGCTTCCCTGGAGAACACCACTGCCAGGAAGAGTTCTTTTGTAATTCATGATGGCAACCTTTGAACATCTCCTTTGTTGAGTTTCATTTGGAAAACAGCTTAGAGAAGGTACTACTGCTTCCTGATTTTTAAGCAGCTGCTAGTTTTTAACAGGAAAATGGGTTACATAACATCGTCTGCATGTCTGCTGGAGGCACTGCCTTCGTGTTGTGTTGATTAACCAAAGGGGTTAATTAGCAGGAGACAGATGTGCCTGTTACAAAATAGGTAAGGATGTGTGTGCTTACCTAGTTCAAAACCCAACAGCAAGGTGCAGATGCAGAAAACCTGATTGTCAATGTTGCTTTTGTTTCTGTTTTGAAAACTTTCTCTTATTATCCAAGATTGAGATAAAACAACAGTTACAATTTTAGCTTTGTGCCCTAGAGAAATAAGACTAGGAACTATAATTAGGATCATCTACTTCTTTCTCCAAATTGTTTGTTATCAGTATTACTTCAGTTGTTATCAGTGTTCATAGGTTCCACAGAGGACTCTCTATAAACATCTCATGTCTAACAAACATGTCTTCAGTTTCAGACTAAATTGGGCAGTTGATCGAACTGGGAAATGGCAAGAACTGGAGTATCCAAGTCCTGCATATCCAGCCTTTGCTTGTGGGTCTGGCTATGTCATCTCCAAAGACATTGTGCAGTGGCTGGCAAGCAACTCTGAAAGATTAAAAACATACCAGGTAATAAAAATTAGTTCAGTTTTTCTGTGTTAAGTGGTCTGGGGAACAGCATGTACTGGGTGAGTCAGAACATTGTTCAAGTGTTAGTGTTGGGTTCTCCTGGCTCATGTGAGCTTTTGCCATGTTTTTGGTTGCTATACTTAGTGCCTGTTCTAAGTCAAAGCACAGATATTTTGGACTGAGAACCTCTGGAGCTGTAGTCTTGTTTTTTGTACTTTGTTTTTGTAAGAAGAGTGTATTGTCATGGGAAAGGTGGGAGGATTATTTTAACACCTCTGTAGTAGTCTGGCGTGGGTTTTGTAGTTACCATTCTTTACAGATGATGCAACTTATTCCAGGTCACAGTCATGCTTTATGCTTTCTTGGTGCTCATATCTGGTTTTTTTTTTTCCATCTCAGGGTGAAGATGTGAGCATGGGCATCTGGATGGCAGCTGTAGGACCCAAGCGATATCAAGTAAGTCTGAAAGAATTGTCTGACCTTACAGAAGGAGGAGATGCCTGCTGTTCCAAGTAGCATAAAATGGGAGAAAGGTTTTTTTCCATTAAAAATGAATTGCTATAACCATGGAATTAAAAACCAGAGGGAAAAATTTTTTGAAGATGTATTTGAAAGTAAAACCACAAAACTGCCACAAACCACCTGCAGCCTCCATCCCTACCCCCAAGTTCTCTGAATAGGTCTAGCAGATCAGTTTGGGACCTTTGTGTGCAATGTTTGTTGCTAGAAACAATAAACACCTGATTCTTGGAAGTGAAGATTGTTGGAGACTACATACTTGCTAAGGAAAACTATTGAAATGTTTCTCTCTCTTAACAGGATGGTCTCTGGTTGTGTGAGAAGACATGTGAGAGTGGCATGCTGTCTTCCCCCCAGTACTCGCCCCAGGAGCTGGGAGAGCTCTGGAGATTAAAGGAACTGTGTGGAGATCCATGTAGATGTGAGGAAAGATGATGGACTTGCCTTGGAAAACAGGGTAGTGTATAATGATAATGGAAAAGTGTACATTTGGATTCATTCCTGGAACAACAAGAAATATTAAGGTACCTTTTAATGCTGGGTTTCAACTAAAGTATAACAATATTTGCACATCCCTTTTGATATTACAAGTGGACTGATAATATTCATTTTCTATAGTATAGATGTTGATCAGACAAACACCAAAATGTTCAAGATTAAAAAAAAAATCCTTTTTATATAAAGACCTACTTGTAATTAATAAATGCACATAAGAATGCCAGCTAGCCTGTCTTTTGTAAATTAAAGCACTACTGATTTGATTCAGTATAGGGCTGTTCCAGCTCCTGAGGAAAGTTGTGCTGAGCACCAGGGCAGCTGGTAAGTCTTGCTGCAGGAGGTTGTGCTGTCTGAGGGATTGCCCTCATCTGTGCAGGGACAGGGACAGCAGTGGGGGGCTAGGATTTGTGATTACTTTGTTTATACCATTGTAATTTTAGATAAAATTAAAATCAAGGTTTGCTTATACCAAATCTTCAAGTACTTCAAGCTTGGCCTGATTTAGGAGGGATTTCTGAGAGCTCACTCTGACTAGATTTGAATCTGAGGTTACACAAGTGAAAGTAAAATAAAATTGAGGAACAGCTGAAGATTGTAAAATAAATAGCAATGCCTTGCAGTGTGCTGAGAACTTATTTATAATGTGGTATGTTAACACTGTAGGGTAGAAGAAAGATGATTAAGGTCAAAATCTGCCAGACCTAAGGTAGATACTTCTAAAATTACTACTGGGTTTTGTTCACTTTGAGGTTGTTGGATGTAGTGAAAACAAAGAGCAAGTGGCCTCTCAGTGCAGCACTGATCTTGTCTTGTCAGCAGAGAGATGACAACCCAAGCGTGTACTTGGTTCAGTAAAACAAATTCTCACCGCTGCTGGGGGCAGGCACTGTAAAATCTTGGCAAAAGGGTGACCTTGAGTTTTATTTAATTGAAGCATTTAAGCACTATTTGGTATTCTCCAGGAGGACAAATGAGCAGATGTTTTTATGGAGGCTGATAATCAAGTTGAGGAGCTGAAAGTACAGTTGTGGAGCCCTTTGGTGCCATGTGTGTGAAACTCATATTCACCTGTATGTTCAGGCAGAGGCTGTCTGTGTGTCTGTCTCTCTTCTGCAGTTCTTGTGTCAGTTTTTCCTTCAGTCCAGCAAGAGAGTCCCCTCTTACCACCGTACTAACACACAGTCTCCACTTTCTATTGAGTAAAACTGCAAAGGCTTTAAGTCATTGTCCAGTTCAACTTCTTTTCCTTCCAACTAGAATAAGAAAGCAAAAAAGACCTAATCAGACTTACACTGAAATCCCTTCATGTAAACCAAACAGCAGGAAGTTGCAGTCAGGGAGAATCTGCCATATTACAGGAATGAAGACAGCTCTCCTCAAGTGAAATTGATTTCTTTAAATAGTATTTTAAAACATGCTATGGACCTTTAGCAGCATGAAATATTTTGTTGTTGAGTACCCATTTTTAACTCACTTTAGAACTTCTGTAGGACAGTTTCAGGTCTGAACCAGGAATTTTAAATAGGCGATACAGCAGTCCTTTGACCTTCTGAATGGTCATAGACTCTGTGGAGGGGAGAGAAAGAAAAGTTATTAGAAAAATGCTGCTGCCACTGTAGCAAAGTACCAGTGTTTCACTTTACTTGCTTATAGCAACAGTGAAAGGCTGTATTGCTGCTTCAGTTCTAACACTGCAATAATGTCTTTGGTACCTGAAACCATATCTGCTACTGTCAAGTGGAACATGGTTTAACCTGTGGGGGATAGGGCAGGATGTGCTACTACAGATCAAGAGCTTTGATCCCATGCACCAAATTAAAGTGTTATGGCTTCATAATTTACCTTTTTTGAGTTTGTATTTCTACATGCTAAACTAAGTGACCTTTGGGACACACACCAGCCATCTGGCCGCTGTTCCTTGCAGTTTTCTTTACCAGGAATTTGCTTTCCCAGCACAAGTAAGCAAATGGCATGGTGGAACTAGTGACATTCTTAGGAATGGTATTGAGTTATTAGTCCCAAACACATTGTCAGCAGAGTTGTTTATATTATGAAGTCAGTTAGAGGAAGGGATATTTTTTGTAATGGATCTTGAATGAGTAGATGTAGTTTGTTCCAGAGGTGATACCTGTGTTTGCAATAGATGAACTCAGTATTTTGGTTGAACTTTCACTTCTTTTGAAGCTTTACCTAAAGGCACAGCAATAGTGAGCTACTCCTGTAATACCACACATTGTACTTAGACAAATATTTTTCTATCAAACATTTTTGTAAAAGCTGTATCTATCTGATTTTATGCAACTTGTGATAATAAATGTGATTTTTATTTTAGAATAAAGCTTGAATTCTTCTTTTCTCTCAGACTTCATTCTGACACATCTTTCCAAAAAATCAGCTTAATTTAGAACAGTCTTACTCATTCTAGTATCACTACAGGCATTAAAACTTCAAAGGATTAATTTGATGGAGGTCAAAACTAGAATTCTAGCTTCATGGATTAGATATTAGACCTCAATATCTAGATTTACACACTATGTGGTTACCTCTTAACACATCACATTCTGATCCACCAGATTTCAACCCCATTAATTGGCCTTTAATTGCCTCAGACATACTAATCATGAAACCAGCAGCAGAGCATCAACTTTATAACAAAGCATCAACTTTCCATCTTTGAGCTGGATTGAAAGTAAGTATGAAGGCCAGAAGAATTATGACTTTTCAAACAATTTCTGCCTTTGTCATTTCTTTATAACAGAGGAAAAGCTTTCAGGAGCTGACACGGTCAGAGGCAGCTGCCATTCTTTAATACAGCTGTTTGAAAAGGAGCAATGAAACAAAGGCTGTATTGCTGCTTCAGTTCTAACACTGCAATAATGTCTTTGGTACCTGAAACCATATCTGCTACTGTCAAGTGGAACATGGTTTAACCTGTGGGGGATAGGGCAGGATGTGCTACTACAGATCAAGAGCTTTGATCCCATGCACCAAATTAAAGTGTTATGGCTTCATAATTACCTTTTTTGAGTTTGTATTTCTACATGCTAAACTAAGTGACCTTTGGGACACACACCAGCCATCTGGCCGCTGTTCCTTGCAGTTTTCTTTACCAGGAATTTGCTTTCCCAGCACAAGTAAGCAAATGGCATGGTGGAACTAGTGACATTCTTAGGAATGGTATTGAGTTATTAGTCCCAAACACATTGTCAGCAGAGTTGTTTATATTATGAAGTCAGTTAGAGGAAGGGATATTTTTTGTAATGGATCTTGAATGAGTAGATGTAGTTTGTTCCAGAGGTGATACCTGTGTTTGCAATAGATGAACTCAGTATTTTGGTTGAACTTTCACTTCTTTTGAAGCTTTACCTAAAGGCACAGCAATAGTGAGCTACTCCTGTAATACCACACATTGTACTTAGACAAATATTTTTCTATCAAACATTTTTGTAAAAGCTGTATCTATCTGATTTTATGCAACTTGTGATAATAAATGTGATTTTTATTTTAGAATAAAGCTTGAATTCTTCTTTTCTCTCAGACTTCATTCTGACACATCTTTCCAAAAAATCAGCTTAATTTAGAATGGCCTTATTCATTCTAGTATCACTACAGGCATTAAAACTTCAAAGGATTAATTTGATGGAGGTCAAAACTAGAATTCTAGCTTCATGGATTAGATATTAGACCTCAATATCTAGATTTACACACTATGTGGTTACCTCTTAACACATCACATTCTGATCCACCAGATTTCAACCCCATTAATTGGCCTTTAATTGCCTCAGACATATTAATCATGAAACCAGCAGCAGAGCATCAACTTTATAACAAAGCATCAACTTTCCATCTTTGAGCTGGATTGAAAGTAAGTATGAAGGCCAGAAGAATTATGACTTTTCAAACAATTTCTGCCTTTGTCATTTCTTTATAACAGAGGAAAAGCTTTCAGGAGCTGACACAGTCAGAGGCAGCTGCCATTCTTTAATACAGCTGTTTGAAAAGGAGCAATGAAACAACTGCTTGAACATAAGCCAAGACTTCTTACCTGGTAGTTTTTTCTCCACTGGCTTCTGTTCAGGTTTCTCAGGACATTTAATTGTCAAAGCTTAAGGAAGAAGAGTGAGGCATTAGTGAAAGAACAATAAGCCCTGTTCTGGCAGAAGCATAGTCTTTCTAGTCTCTTTCTTTTTATTACAAACTGTTTCCCTTAGCTCAGCCTGATGTCTCAAAAATTAGGAGGTAGCCTGCATCTCAGCATTTAATCATTATCTGAAAAATTAATTAATGAAAATAACCAAGTTTTTATTCATCTTTTTTAAATTATTGTAGAAGTGACTCCCTAATGCTTAAAGATTAAAGATTTTATAATCAAAATGAGTATTTACCTAAATATGCTTAATTTCTATTTCATTTTTAAAAAATAACCTGCAGTAGAATGGAAATTGCTTATTCAGATTAAAATAGGCTTTTGGTCCTCTCAAAAGCACCATACAAAGACATTCAAAGGACATCATTAGCCTAATTATTTTACAGAGATTAAAAGACTTATCCTTAAACAAAGGTTTATGTTATATCTAGCCAATAAGATTCTTTGTTCTTTTTAGTCTTCCACCTAAATGCATGAGAATGTAATGCCTTAAAATACCATTTTGCCCCTGGAGTAAAAAGTTTCAGTTCTTCTATCAGCTGGGGAACACAGCTACATGAATTTGCAAGTTGAGGATGTAACCCAGATTAAATATGTAGACAAGCCCAAATACCCATGTTTTTCTTGTCTGTCCTAAAGTTAAGAAGTTATTAAAAAGGTAATATCAGTAAACAGAGAAGCTGTCGAGATTAAAACCTGAGATGTCTTCTGTAAAGAAGCCATTCACACTGTCAGAATGGAGTATCAATAACCTTTGTTCTCCATTAAATCTCAGTTGAGAAAATCATTTGGCTTGGGTTGAGGGGGGAAATGAGAGTACACAGAATCAGCTTTCCAGTCAAACTCACTGAGACAGTTCAGAAAATCAAAATTACAAGCTGGAACTTTTTGTTCTCCATATACACCTAGGAGACACTAAGCTCATAAAACATTCTAAATGCAGAAGGAACAGTTTTGACCATTTCTGGCCTCTTACTCAGGAGCTGATTTTTCAGAGTCAAAGGCTGTTGTCTCTTCAGTTCT